GAGGCACCTTATTATCCTAGGGTTTCTCCTCAGGGGGAGAGTAGTGAGAATTTGGGTCTTTTTCCTCAGGGGGAGCACAGTGAGAGTGGGGTTAACTCATCTAAGGTTGTTCCTTTACCCATTCCATTGAGTGATGAAGGTGGTGAGGGTTGTCAGAGGGATCAGGAGTTGAAAGACTATCACAGGCGATGCAGGCAAGTTGATTCCGGTCATCAGCAGTCCAGGCCAGTCCCAGTTCCTTCTGTGGATCCAGATCCAGGTACTACAGTCCCAAGGCCCACTGAGATACCTTCCACTGTTGCTACTTCCCCTCCTTCTGATGACCTTGACCTCCCTATTGCGGTCCGTAAAGGGAAACGGCGTTGCACCACATCCACAACTCACTGTATTTCCCAGTTTCTATCCTATGATCGCCTGCCTCCCTCTTACAGGTCCTTCCTCACTTCCATTGCTAATATTCCTATCCCCAGAACAGTGCAAGAAGCCTTATCAGTTCCAGAGTGGAAAGATGCAATGAAAGTTGAAATAGATGCCCTTTTGAAAAATAATACTTGGGAGCTAGTTGACCTACCCAAAGGAAAGAAACCAGTTGGATGTAGATGGATATTTACTGTGAAACATAATGTTGATGGCTTCGTTGAAAGGTACAAAGCCCGGTTGATTGCAAAAGGGTTTACTCAGACTAATGGTATAGACTACTTGGAGACTTTTGCCCCAATAGCCAAGATGACCACTATTAGCTCTTGCAGCAAGTTACTCTTGGCCCTTGTTCCAGATGGACGTTAAAAATGTCTTTCTAAATGGAGACTTACAGGAAGAGGTCTACATGTAGTTGCCCCCTGGATTCTATGATACAGAGACAGGTAAGAAGGTTTGCCGACTGAATAAGGCATTGTATGGATTAAAGCAGTCCCCTAGAGCTTGGTTTGATAGATTCAGACTAGCCCTTGGAAAATTCGGTTATGTACAAGCCCAGTCAGATCATACACTGTTCGTTAAAAGAGTGAACTCTTCTTTGACCTTGCTTGTTGTATATGTGGATGATATTGCAGTGACAGGGAATAATAATAGTGAAATTGAGTCCCTCAAACAGCTCCTTCATCAAGAGTTTGAGGTGAAAGATCTTGGTGCACTGCGATATTTTTTGAGTATTGAGGTTGCTAGATCTAAACAGGGGATCTTTATCTCTCAAAGGAAGTATGTTCTAGATCTGTTGGCGGAAACTGGAAAGTTAGGTGTCAAGCCTGC